AAGAAGATGGAAGGAATACACAGAGCCACTGCACCAAAAAGAAATGGTCAGTGGTCAACCATTTAAGAGGTATCATAACACCCAAGCTGCACTGAAGGCACTGGTGAAAAACAAAGCTCCAGGAATTGACAGAATACAAATTTAAGTACAACAAACTGATGCAGCACCAACCAGATGCACTCATTTATCTGTGCCAAAAAATTTGGACGAAATCTACCTGGCCAGCCAACTGGAAGAGATCCAAAGAAATGTGACCCAGTGGAATGCAGAAATCATCAAACAATATTATTAACATCATATGCAAGTAAACTTTTGCTGAAGATAATTCAAAGATGGCACATTGACAAGGAGCTGCCAGAAATTCAGTTGGGATAAAGTAAAGAGCATGTAATCAACAAAGTAATGATAAAGTAAAGACCATCTGATGATGTCAGATGGGTCATGGCTGAAAGCAGAAAATACCAGAAAGATGTGTACTTGTGCTTTATTGACTATGTAAAGGCATTCAACTGTGGGACCATGGTGGTGACATATGCCCTGGAGTCAGTTCTGACTAATAGTGACCCTACATAGGGTTTTCCAAGGCTACACATCATCTTCTCCCACGGAACAGCTGGTAGTTTCGAACTGCTGACCTTGAGATGAGTGGCCCAACGCATAATCACTATGCTACCAGAGCTGTGTGTGGAGCATAACAAACTATAAATAACATACAAAGAATAGACATTCCAGAACATTTCATTGTGCTCGTGAGGAATATGTACATAGACCAAGAGGCAGTTGAAACAGAACAAGGGAATATTCAGTGGTTTAAAAATCAGTAAAGTTGTGTACCAGGATTGTATCTTTCACCGTAATTATTTAATCTCAATCTGTATGCTGAGCAAATAACTCAAGACACTGGATTGTATGAAGAAAAATGTGGCATCAGATTTGGAGGAAGACTCATTAACAATCTGTGATATACAGATAAGACAACCTTGGAATAGGACTTGAAATACTAATAAATATCAAAGCACACAGATTTCAGTATCGAGTGCACCTCAATGTAAAGAAAATGAAAATCCTCACCATTGGACCAATAAATAGCATTATTATATATGGAGGAAAGCTTGAAGCTGCCTACAACTTCATTTTGCTTAGCTCCATAATCAACGCTCATGGAAGCAGCAGTCAAGAAATCAAACGTATTGCATTAGGCAAATCTGCTGCAAGTGTTGAAGAGCAAAGGTATCAGGAGTCCCCAAGAATACTCTTTCTAGATGCAACAACTGCACTGTTGTTATTAAATACCATCTAGTCAGTTTCGACTCATAGTGACCCTGTACAGGGTTTCTGAGGAGCAGCTGGTGAGCTTGAACCACTAACCTTGCAGTTGGGGGAGGCTCCTGTAAGCCAATGATCTAACAACATGGGTGTGGAAGGTTTGTGACAGCAGTTTCTGGCCCTAGAGGGAGTTCCTGTTGGCCTCGGTGTTGTCCATATTCAGGGCACTCAATCCAGTAGTTCATGGAGGCCCTTGATGTAGCTGGTTTCAGTATCTGTTAGGAACACAGAGCAGCTAGGGGGCAGGGTGCTGGTTGTTTTTCTAGTGACTCTTTGGGTTCTGTAGTTCTGGAACTCAGCCCACCTGAATCCAGGTACCAAAGTGGAGCAGCTGGTCCCATCCTCATCCTGTCATGGCACCCAACTAAAGTGACTACAAACTCCCAGGTAGCAGGGTCAGTGCTAGGGGTGGATGGTGAGATCTGGCCATACCTCTGGTCACCAGGGGAGCGTGGTGATAAAGGACGAATTGCACCTTTCCTGTTGCCTGTGTCAATCAGCATTGCCAGGTCACCTTCTGTTACCAAAGCTGTTCACAAGATGGTGGTGCCACACCTCACCGGCAGTTCAGCAATCTTCCTGGCTTCGCAGTCCTCTGGCCATCCCTGCTCAGTTTCTCTTTCCAGCAAGCTCACAGTCCACTTCCGCAACCTTTCCTCTGAAGTTTAAGGTTCCATAATTTTCATGGGAATTTTATGTATTTCATTTGGTCTCTCATATTTCTGTTCCAAAGCTTTTTTTTTTTTTTTAATGTGCTTGTCCTTCTGAAGCAATTTAACTCCACTAGTAGCGTAGTGGTTACAAATCGGGCTGCGAACCACCTTAAGGTTAGCGGTTCTCCGCGGGAGAAAGATGAGGCTTTCTACTCCCGTAAGGATTTACACCCTTGGAAACACTGTACGGGGTCGCTATGGGTTAGAACCGACTCGACTGCACTTAACAACAACAACATCTTCAAGCAAAGGAGCTCTGGTAGCACAGTGGTTATGAATCAGGCTGCGAACCTTAAAGTTAGCAGTTCGAAACTACCAGCTGCTCCATGGGAGAAAGATGAGGCTTTCTGCTCCTGTAAAGATTTACAGTCTCAGAAACCCTGTTCAGCGTCACTATGGGTCAGAACCGACTTGACGGTACATAACAACAGTCTTCAAGCAAAACCACAGGGTAGCAAAGTTTCTATGTGATAGACTAAGACTTCTGGTTTGAATCTTCAAATGAATTTGTGTTGGGGAATGGGTAGGAAAAAAAGGGAGTTAAGTGAGGTGGGTTAAGGGAGGACAACTTAGCGAGGCTTGGTTATATAGTCTTGGACCTTCTCCTTTCTTAAAGCCTTTGTACAGAAAAAAGCTGAGACCGAATCCTGGGCTCCCAACACAACACCCTTAAGCTTAGGATCACGCAGCCTGGAGTTCTAAACTGTGTTCCATGGTTAGAACAAGCCAGACAATGTAAGTATTCATTCTGTTCCATGTTCCATGGAAGGAACTTTAAAAGCCTGTTATCTATAAAATGTATTTCTATGCATGTCCAGGAGACTGGGGGAAGAAAATACTGCTGTAGCCATTAAGGGATGATGAATGCAAGTTGGTTGCATTATACCATTAATATCTTAGAAAAATATGTATTATTTTACTAAATACACTCACCTCTTGAGCTTGTTATCTTCTTTGGGGAAAGTCAGCCAAACTATGATTTCCAAAGTCATACTTTAGCAGTGGAGCCTTGGCTCATTTGCAGTTGTCCACAAATCAAAAAACACAAACTGGCGAGGCTTCTTAGGGTGCACTGCAGTTTCCCTAGAATTTATGGTATACTGTATGTAGTTAACCACTAAGGAGCCCTAGTGACACTGTAGGACAAGTAAGCACTGGACTGCTCACCAAAGGGTTGGCAATTCAACCCCACCAGCTGTTCCTAATAGATTCACAGCCGTGGAAACCCTACAGTCACTGAGCCAGAATCAATTAGATGGCAGTGGGTTTTGGCGCTGTTAGGTTAATGTGCTGGATTGCAAAGGTAGTTTGAATTGCAAGGTTGGCGGTTCAAGCTCACCAGCTGCTCTCTCGGAAACTCTATACAGGGTCACTGTTGAGTCGGAACTGACTCTAAGGCACTTAACATTGAGAGCCCTGGTGGCACTGTGGGTTATATGTTGGTCTACTAACTGCAAGCTTGGCAGTTCAAAGTCACCACCTGCAATGTAGGGTAACACTGGCTACTCCTGTAAATCCGAAACACAACTCTCCTGTATGATCACTAGGGATTGGCATAGATTCAATGGCTGCAGGTTAGTAGTTAACACCAGAGTTGTGGTGGTACGGTAGGTTAAGTGGATCTTGGACTAACTCAAATAATCAGCAGTTCAAACCCACTATAGCTGCTCTGTGGAAGAAAAATAAGGCAGTCAATGGGCAGCCTTGGAAAACCTATGGGGCAGTTCCATTCTCTTATAGGATCACCAAGTAGGCAGTTTAGTGTCAAGTTGGTTCTGACTCATGACCATGGTTTTGCTTTTTTGGTAGTTTCGAACCTGCCACCTACTCAGCAAGGGTTTCCTTAAAACTTACAGCCTTAGAGATGCTGAGGCAGTTCTATTGTTGTCGTTCAGTACAGTGGAGTCGGTTCTAACTCATAGTGACCCTGCAAAGGGTTTCCGAGGCTGCAAATCTTTACGGGAGCAGAAAACCTCAACTTTCTCCTGTGGAACAGCTGGGAGTTTTGAACTGCTGACCTTGAAGTTAGCAGTCTTTCGTAACCACTATGCTACCAGAGCCCCTTTCTATAGGATTGCTGAATTAGAAACTACCAATTTATTTCGGTAATTAACACTTAGTGGTTTTCTTCCTATTCTGACAACAGTACAAACTATTCCTTAAAATTAAAACCAAAACAAAACCCAAACCCACTGCCATGGAGTCGATTTTAACGTATAGCCATCAGAGAAGGCAGAGTAGATCTAAGTGCTCCTTGGGGTAGCTTCATCCCTTTACCTGAGTGGCTGGTGAGTTTGAAAAGCCAACCTTGCAATTAGCAGCCCAACACCTAACCCAAGGAGCCACCAGGGTTTGTTCCGTACAGTAATGGCTTCCAATCCACATGGTAAAGGAAAATTACCTGGAAATTAAATTCATAAAGACTCGAGAGGAGTTTCAAAACAACCATAAAGAATTTCAGTAACTTTTCCATTGTTCCACAAATTTTTGGAAGCCCCTTGAACACTCAGACCCCACCTCTTAAGTTTCAACCAAGTAGCTAGGTAAACTTTCCCAGGTGATTGCAATGTGATGTCACGGTTGCACCTTTGAGGCACCTTCAATTACGACTCAGAGCAGCAACTCTGTATAGGGTTTCTGAGGCGCAGCTGGTGGGTTTGAACTGCTCAGACCCTTGTGGTTCACAGTCCAGTGCTAATCCTGCAGCGCCACACCAGAAGTCTAAGAGGAATAAACTCCATGCGATTTTTACCCACATCCTAGATATGAGGACCTTATTCACTTACAAGAGAGATAACATAGGGTGGTAAAGCTAGGACTCCTATATTCTACATCATCAAATGATGCCTGCGCCAGGGTCACCGCAGATGATCTAGGTTAAAGTTAAATGCACATTAGCTACACTGGGTGCCCTCCATTTGCAACCCTAATAGCCACAGATTAGAACACACAGAGCCATAATGAAGTAAAAGGAAAGGGTGGAATTGAATCTTTATTTACAGGACACAGTAAGATATGAAATTCCACACAGAAATAAGAAACCCAATGATAGGAGAGGCTTCATACAGTATGTACAGTTTGGAACTGTTCAAGTATAGTTTCGTTGTAAAACGTGCTACATAGCAAATCACATTTATAAAGAATTCTTAGTAGAGAAACAGTAAGACGAACTTATACCAAACAAAGTACACAACAAACAACTTATGACTCAGCTGTATAATCTTAAAAGTTAAAGGTCCCAGGAGTGCCATCCGGAACTTGGAAGGCATACCCTTCAGAGGTAGTTTCTGGCACAACATTCTGATCTTCTTCTTCCTGGAAGTATATTTTAAAAAACAATGTTATCCCACTTATCTAAAATGGCACATTTCTCAGTGGTCACCTGCCTACAGTCTCTGTATTTTTATACTCTTAAGGTCTTCATGGACATTTTTTCACCTTTGATCCTGGTACCAAATTCCACTATTTGAAATAGCAGGACAGCCAGTAAGGGGAGTGCTGCTGAAACTTGGCCAGTGTTTGAGGCTGCACGGAGATAAGTTTTTGAGTGAGTAAGAAACACTACCCAGGGGGCTTCAAAAAGTTCATGGAAAAAATGGAATTAAATGATAATGGAATTTCTCTGTGAACTTTCAGAAGTTTATTTCATATTACAGTGACAGAAAAAACATTTTCTCCTCCACTTGTCACTTTTAAGTTGGAAAAGGAAGAACTGCTTAAGGTCCAGAGCATGGTAGTCGGGTGGGTCCATTTTCCATCCACTCCTACATCTGTATACTTACTGATGATCCTGTGAGACTCTCAAGACTCTTCATTTGAAAGTATATCGGTAGCTTTTTAAAATCTCAAGTTAAAAACAACACTAAAATCTCAAGTTAAAAATCAACACTAAGATAAGCCAGTATGTAAACATCCTACTTAAGTAAGTAATTTGATGTATTTTAACAAGGGTCCAGGGTTTATTAAAATAAACGAGAGGGAGAAAGCTTATGAGAGCTTGACCTGACCATACACATTCACTACTCACCTCTACAGAGAAGTACTTTTCAATTAGACTCAATGAAGCCTTGTACACAGACTCATTTTCATGGTTTTGCAGAGCTTCAATTTTGTCCAAGCCTCCGCATTCTTCAATCATTATACTAAGTTTCTCAGTTTCACTTATTTTCTCAGCAGCCTAACCAAAAAAAAAAAAAAAAAGCCCGGTCCTTTCTCAATACAGTGGTAGAAAAATTTTCAACAAACTCAAAAATTACAAAAAAAAAAAAGCTTACTAGTCCATACTGTTGTTTTCATGATAAAAACAATGTCTATATTTGAATAACGTTGTTGTTGTTGTTAAGTGCCCATAGCGACCCTATATAGGGTTTTCCAAGGAGCAACTGGTGAGCTTGAACCACCAACCTTGCAGTTCAAACGACTTTGCAGTCTGGTGCATTAATAGAATACTAGAATTAAGTACCTTCCAATTTCTCATTTTTCCTTCAGAAACAAATAATATGATGTCCATTTTACGTTTTTGTTTCAAAACTCAAGGCAATCAGATCAGTATCTGCTCTTTGCAACTGTATTTCAACTATAACCTTTTCTGTGCTTCAAAATCAACCAGGCAACTTTTTAATTAGTCTGGAAATGGGATGGAATTACTATCTTTTAAAAGCCCCATATAAAGACATAATGATATGGAGAAACAGTGTCTAAGAGCAAAGATGGTCTATTGTTTGTTAAAAACAAGCTTTCCTGACTGCGATCCTTGTTAATTATTAGCTCCCAGGAGTCCTGGTGTGGTGCTACAGCATAATGCGGTAGACTGCAAGGTCAGTTTGAACCGCAAGGTTAGCAGTTCAACCCACCAGCGGCTCCTCTGAAACCCTAATACTGGGTTCACTACGAGTCAAAACCGACTCTAAGGCACTTAACAACGAAAGCGCCAAGAAGGGTATGGTGTCATGGTGCAGGCACTGTAGGATTAGCACTGAACTGCTAAGCACAAGGTTGACGGTTCAAGCCCACCAGCCATTCCTCAGAAATCCTACACAGGGTTCCAATGAATCATAACCGACTCGACAACACTTAGTAACAATTATTGGATTTTTTTTTTTTTTTTAAGTCTTTAGCTTTTATAGCATCTAAGTAAATGCTTTCTGTTTTACAATAATCTAGAGGCCTTGGAGGGAAGAGGGAGTGGGAAAATTGGACTGATAGTACTTTCAGAGTAATTTGTACCACAGGTTATTCTAGACTAATTCTGTTCCTGAAAGTTCCATAATCAGTTTACAGTAAGACCAAAATACCATTATCAATGAAAAGTGCTTTGTGCTTGCATGCTTGCAAAAATTAGGATGGACTACTTTGGTGAGTAGTGACTGGGATCTTAAAAGCTCATAAATAGCCATCTTAGGTACAACTACAAGTCTCTCCTTGTCTAGAATAAACAAGAATGTTGAAAACCAAGACACATGGAATCAATTAGTCCAATGGACTAATGGAACACATCAGTCTCCACAAGTCTTGAAACCAGAGAAACTAGATACTATCCGGCTATCACTACCAACAGCTCTGAAAGGGATCATTTAGAAGGTACCAGGCAGAGTGGGGAAAAATGTGAAACAAAACTCAAAATTTAAAAAAAGACCAAGCTAGCTTACTGATCAGAAAAAGACTACAGAACTAGAAGACTTATGGCCCTCAGCCACCCTTCAGGTCTGGAACAGAACTCACCCTTGTGACCCCATTTTCAGCCACACAGTTGATAAGTACATAGGGAGACAACACTAGTACATCAACCACTCAAGATTTAGGATAGCAACATTTACCTAAAGACAAAGCGGAAAAGGGATGGGAAGGAGGGTGGGATGGAAATAAGAACCACAGGGAGGAAGTGGTACCTGTTGTTACAAGGAGGGACTGCAATCACTGAGATGAAACAAATTGTATGATTTGTTTGTTGAATGTAAAATTTATTACCTTCTCTAAAACTACACTCAATTCAAAATAAAAAGGTTCAACAAAAAGAACTAGGGATGGGACCTAAAGCAGCAACTAAGCCTTTCAAATTTAATTTCACCAAAATTCAGTATGCACCCAGTACATTAAAGATGGATGATAGAAATAGGCCTGGAGAGTTACCTACATATGGACTTGCCTTTGAACACTGAAATATCTTATGATGTCTAACTCATTACAAATGTGACCCACATAAGCACACTTGTGGATCCTGGGGTTACTGATGAATAAACCTAGCTGCCTTGTCATCAGTGCAAATAGAATTATCATCAGTGCCAAATTCAAACACATGCCACCTTATTAGACTTACTTGAAAGATATTTGAAATGGCATCCAGAATAACCAGAATAATTTTTGTATCCTTGGCAGTTAAAAGGTTCATCAATGGTTCTATTATGCCACAGTGGACGAGGTATACAATCTGTTCAACTGTTCCACCACTTGTATAGTTGGTCACAGCCCACACAGCTTCTTTTTGAGTCTTGAAGTCTGCCTAATAAACAATAAAGAGGACTTATTTGTTAAGTTGGTACAAACAAGACTCCTAAAGCATTCTTTTAACAAACAATGACTGAAATTATCAACTGATTTTTAACAACATGAAGTGAAAAAGAGGTCCCTGAACAAAGGAGTGTAAGACTCTTGCCACACACAGGTCTGTCAAATGCCTATCCATAAAAACGTAAATGCCAGCAATCATTTTATTATGAAAAATTCCCAAGATTTTATTACCTTAGAGAGAATGTCAACAAGGAATGGGACTAATCCATAATTCACTACTTGTTGTATCTGGTCCTGACGACCTGCTGTAATGTTTGACATGGTCCATGTAGCTTCCTTCTGAATATTAGTTTTGGGATTTGTTAGCAGGCTGGGAAATGTAGCAAGTGCTCCTGCATCTATTACAACCTGAGTCTGTTCATCTGTCCCAGTGACAATATTCCCGATGGCTCTTAGCGCAGGAGTCTGAAAAGAAGAATTTTTTTAAAAAGTTCATACCAGAAATCACATTTTCTTTTTTCCAGCACTGACCAGAATCTATCCTGAAAGCATCATGACCAGAAACAATCTTTTCACTACTAGCATCAATTAGTTATGCTTATACTTTATGTTCTAATTTCAAAGTTAACAACTTACCACAATCGGCAGCTCAGTAGCTCCTAGAAGCTTCACAAGTTGGGGCACAACTCCTGTCTTCACGACCATCTCAATCCGTTCATTTGGACCATCGGTAAGATAGGAAATAGCCCAGCAGGTATCTGCCAATACTTCTGGATCATCGTGATGCAGAAGACGAACTAAAGTAGGGAGAATCTGCTCAACAGCATCTAATGGGGGTGCAGGATTCTTGTTTCGACAAAGATTTGAAAGTGTCCATGTAAGATTCCGCAAGTATCCACACTGGGTAGGAAGGGAAAAAAAGCAATGAGCAGTTCTCAGTCTTTGATGGGAGAGGGAGAATTAGAATAAAAGAAAGTAAGTTAGTGAACTTGAATTAGCAACTTACTGCTAAAGATGACATATCAGGAACTGCAAGTAGAGCTAAAAGAGGGTCGACTGCACCATACTTGATAACCAAGTCTCTGAAAGGTGAACCATCACCTGAGGGGGAATAACATAGCAGTCAATCACATGGGAACTGTCTAGCACCATTAATGTTCACTGAGTGCACTAGTAGTACACATGGCAACTTAAAGTGTCATTCATCCTAACAAGGTCCAGAATAAATTCAAAACTGGACCCCAAGGTTACTTTTAACACTTCCCACAACTTCATTATGATTAAATATATTCAGGCAAAATAATGTTAAATACAAGTACCTGCAATGTTTCCTAGAGCCCATACAGCTTGTTCACTGATGTGAGCATGAGGAGATGCCAACAGAGAAATGAATGCTGGGATAGCACCTCCATCTACCACAGCCTTGGTCTGTTCTGATGTCCCAGAAGCAATGTTAGTAAGTGCCCAAGCAGATTCAAACTGAATGGGACTACAGTCAGTTCTGCCCAAGAAGGATACAAATTTTGGAATCAAGCCAGCCCGGATTATGTTGTCTATGGGGGGCTGTTTTTCCCTGGAAAGCAGTTTCCTAAAGAAGAACAAAAGGAAAACCAAAAAGTTTATTATTAAACCAAGTTTGTATAAAAGTCAATTTAAAATGCAGTCTAAATTTAGAACTCTAGAGCATCTTTTACAGTAAAGCACCACAGGCTAAGATGGCCTATAACTCTGGAGAAACTGAATAGACTCCAAAAGCCTGGTGCCTTCCCTGGTGCCTTCATATGACAGTTTCCTTTTTTCCAGAATGGAAATATTACCGAAAATGTGGAGTGCCCTTCTCTGGGAACCCTACAGACGTTTCCCATAAAGAGACAAGCACTTTTTGACAACGTGACAGGGTTATACACTCGCTGCTAATTTAATTTCCATTTCCCTGTCAGTGTGGTTAAACACTTTTTCCACGACCGACCATTTGTCTTTTTTTTTTTCTGCAAGTGGTCAATCTTTTGTTATAAATATTACCAACATTTGTGTATGGTGGGAGCTAAGAATCTAAATGCTTATTTTCCAAATTAATTCTGATTTAATTTCTCCTTTCCTTTGTTGCAAATTTGAAACATTACTTTGAAATGAGGCCTACTGCAACTCAGCCTTTTCTCTATCCACAGCATCATTTGCCCATGCCTTCCCCACTCAAATTTAAAAGGTTACTCATGCTAAAGCAGGTAAGACTTACCTAGCAGCTTGAGTAGCTTGAAGCTGGCTTTCCAAATTGTTGCTATTTATGCCTTTGAGAATGTCATCTACAGACCAATTTACAGTACCCTACAAAAAAAAGTGGAAGTCGCTGAACAAATTATCGTTTTTTTAAGATTAAATACAATCAAGTCCACTCTTGTCATCATAAAGACATTTTTAGTTTTAATCAGATATGAAAAGCTCTAGCTTTGTCTGTTATAATGAATAAACAAATTCATTATTAAAGGCACAACAGTTTTAAACTCATGACTTATTGAAGCTTCAAGTTATGGATGTTCAAGCAATTTGACACTTTAAAAAGTTGTGATAAAGTTTTAGAGCAAATTGAAAATTATTACAACATAACATCAATCACTTGCATTCAATATGCTTTCTTGGAAGAGAGAAAGGCAACATGCTGACTATTTTCACATCTAAGCTTGTACTCAAGTATTTCCATGGTTGTTATTAAGTACTTATTGAGTCTGTTCCAACTCACAGCACCTGTATAGGGCTTCCAAGGAGCAGCTGGTGGGTTTGAACCACCGAATTTGCAGAGTTAAACATCCTACAAATCCTTATCAGGTGTTATGTATGTCATGGTTCCTTGTACCAAGAAGGTTCAGCAATATTTAACTCAGAAAGACAGTAATTCTTCCTTCCTAGGAGCTTACAACCTAACAGGAATGTGTGGCAGCTAGAGAAATAATCACTGAAAAGGAAATAAATGAGGTAGGAAAGTGCCAAGTGTCTTGGAAGAAAGGAATAACATGATGAATTTGGAAAACTAAGGGATATCTTCAATGCTAAGTATGGATTTAAAACTATCAAAAGTCTGTGAGCCGAGAGAGAACATGTTTAAATAAGCATGTCAGGGGAAAAAAGAAGCAAACCACCAGTATGTAGCCCAGAATGGAGAAAACAAATTAGGGAGCTACTATAAATTGTTTGGGGGTCCTAGTGTAGGCTGCAGGATAACGCACACTGGACCACAAGGTCGGTGGTTTAAGCCCACCAGCTTCTCCTTGGAAACCCTAGATAGGGTCACTATGCATTGGAACTGACTCAAAGGCACTTTACAACAACCATAATAGTTCAGGAACAAAAAATCCTGAACAAAGCTGGTGATGAAATTAGTCAAGAGCCGAGATACACAAATGGTTAAGCACTCAGCAGATAACCAGAAGGTTGGTGGTTCAAACCCACGCAGCAGCTCCACAGAGGAGCCTGACAATCTGATTCCATAAAGATGACAGCCAAGAAAACCTTGTGGGACAGTTCTACCCTGTCACACAGGGTCACAACGAGTCAGAATCATGTCAAAATAAGCCAAAAAGTGGTTGGTTCCAGACACACTTGCTGCTAACAATGGAATAATCAGGTCAAGGCACCCACAGCTAGACACACAAAAAAAAGATCTTCATGGATCTAATAGTTTTAAACCATTAAAACTAGAAATGTTATTTTACATATCTTAAGAAAAGCCCCATGTTAATTTTCTGGGTTTATTCTAATTCATGACAACGTATTTACCTGGTTGTTGCGGTTTTCCTGCAGTGGCGAAGTAGCATCATCAGGAAAAGTGCTTACATTTCTCCTTTTCAGCATCTGGTCATCCTTCTTAGCT